AATTTGGCAAGCCATAGCTATGAAAGAATGTAGAGATCTACCCCTGACCATTTCATGGTGCCAAGCTAAGAGAATATTTCAGCAAAGATAAGCAATCTAAATCCAATCATGAAATACAAATCAAGCAAACTTAAAGGAAGCATTCGTCAGCTGTGATTTGGATCTTTTAAATGTTTTCGTCTTCACTTGTATTCGTGCTCTGTTTGTCTCATCCTTTCCGTATCTGACTTTGCCTATTTTCTCAATTCTTAGAAGCTATAGTGAGGTAAGTGCTAATAAAATAAACAGCACATTTAGTATAAGTTGAAGACATCTTCATACTGTTGACTGAGTCTGATTACCATGGTGACTTAATTTCAGTCAAGGCAATTTAGATTGTGATTTAAAATACAATAACATTGTTTAGACTGGTTTAAGGCTTACTTGCTAAAAAAAAGAAAAACATATCAACAAAATAGACATCTTTTTATTAGAAGAATGCATTCAAGTATGAAAGACAAAAGTAATTGTCTTTACAAAATATGTTTTTCTTTAGGTTTAAATGAATCATTTTAATTTTCTGCCATGTGTTGGCTGTTGACACTATTTAAAATAATCTGAGGATCGACATCAACTGTGAATAACTTCAAAGAAGTTATCCTGGATGGAGATTTTTTTGCATACTATGTGCTGCAGATGCCTATTGTTTCTTTTACTGATATGGATAATGTGCATATAACTTAACTACTGCATCCTACTCGTACATGCAAGATATTAAGAATCATTAAATGTCTCTACAAAATTGATTTTCTTATGTTATGCTTTATACTTGGGGATCACATTCCTTACTCCATTCCCAATTTACTTTTGCAAGCTTGGAGATGTGGTTTGTTATACATTCAAATCCGAGGCTGAAACTCTTTTCTGTGCAGAGGGTATAAAAAAGACAAATTCATCATGAATTACTGGAGTTACTGAAGAAAAATCCCTCACAGTTAGCAGACACTGCAAGCATTGCCATTGTGTTAATAAATGATAGCCTGCTTAGACTTGGACAAATCATCTGCACTAGGAGATGAAGTCTTCTACATGTGGGCCTAAAGTATCCATGTAACCAGATGAAAGAAAGAATTATCTTACAAAGGCATCCAAAAGGAGATCACATCAGTCCATCTAAGCTTCATTACTTTGCTTCCCTGACAATAAAAGCAATACAGACACATGCTTTAAAAAATTTAAGACACAGCTGAGTGTTGGAATAATGTAGGCTAGGTAACTCACTGCTTTTCATTAGGCCAAATAATTTCAAAACAAACTGATGGTTAAAAAAGTAGCTTCCAACTATTATTTAATTTGTATCTCATTCATTTATACCAAAAGCTGTTAAATTAGATTGCTTTCCTTTTTGAGGCAGGCAGTGAAAGTAAAGGAGCTGTGAGTCTGTCTAACTCCATCATGTCCTATCAACAAAAAATCTTGAGATCTGAAACTGTGACTATACTAAAGCTTTCCGGGCTAAGATGCATTAATAATTTAGGACAATTGATCTTGGCATTTCGGTTCCAGCTGGTTATTGTATTATTTACGCATCTTTATGTTTTGGGTCTCAACTCCATCCCTCCCCCCTGGGAGCCATAGACTGCAATTTGCTTTGCATTATCCTGCCTTTTGCACCAGAATTGCCTAAGAAATGAAAACAAATGGGAGGAAATAAACATAAAAGCCATGAGGAACTAGTTGATGATTATTTTATAATTCAATATTTAATCCTATGAGGTATTCTGGGCAGTCTGTAATAGATAATATGTCACAAAACAAACTGCTCATTCCATCTTTAGTTTTCCACAGTAAAGTAGTTTCAAAGGGCTGACAGATTTTTAAAGTTTGTACATATTGACTACAAGCTTATTAGAGTGTCTAAATTTCTGGACTCAAAGAAACAATGACTTCTGTAAGTCAGCAAACAGGTTACACAGCTAATTATTTAGAAAAAAAAAAAAACCACAAAAAAATAAATGAAGTGCCAGGGTCAAATAAGTCCCATTCCTGTTCTGTATGCACAGTCTCTACACAGAACTTAGAGCTGCTCTCTTGGTTTTAACTAGAGATCAGAGAAAGAACAGTCTATAATATGGCTGCTAAAGTCTATGGAGTTGACAAACATGATGTGCTAGAACTTTTTTAAGAGATATCAAAGCTTTTTATTCAAACATCTTTTGTTTTAATTTTCAATATGCTCTGACTTCATGAAGGACCAGATTACATTAACCTTACTTATACTGAATGGGATCATATTGTGCAACTGATTCAAATGATTCCAGCAAACCAAGGTTTGATGCAAGAAATGTTTCAATTTGAGTAAAGTTTTTCAGTAAGCAAATAGTGGTTTTGAGCAGAGGTGTTTTATGGTTTCTATCATGCTGTTTGTAGGTAAAGAAACAAGTGTTTCACATCATCCTGCTGAGTATCTAATTTTTAATTAACTTCATCCTTTCTTATCAGTGCCCTGATCAAGCATTATCATGCTGTAACTTGTAACATTTTAATACAATTTTATAAAATAGTAGCATAGACACATGTTTAAAATAAACTTACAGATCTGTTGTCCACCCAATTTGAGAAAATGCTAACAAAAACTGAGCAGGGTTTTCAAATACCTAAAATGTAATTGGAGTTGACAAAAAAAGACAATTTTTCAGATACTAGAAGCTCTAACAGACCACAAGTTCTCATGATTGCTGCAATCTTTAGTTCAGTAGGCTATGATAAGGTAGGCAGGCAAGAAGATAAACTGGTTTATGATACCTACTAAAACCTTAATACCAGCCATTTTAAATCTGTTCCCTCAAATTAACCACTAGATATTTTATTTCTAGAAATTAAATTTCTCCAGATTACTCACAAATATATTCGGCACCCATAACAATGTTCAATTTTTCAGATAAAAAGCATATTATATGGCTTTTTGAAAAATTATCTGAATTTATACAGTAAAGTATAAGTTTTGGCAGCAGCACATATATTTAGAAGAATAAAAGGCTATGGTGATGTTGAAGTAATTTGCTCATGTTCTCCTCCCACTGACATAAACAAGAATCCTGTACCATCTAAAGCTGCTTTTTATTTATAATATCTCCTTTGAGACACAAAGACCAGTATCACATAGACTAGTGTCACCCAGATTTAGATGAAAAGGAAAAAGCTGAAGGCTGCACACTCAGGGGCATTCTATTTATAATGCTTTTTTCATACAAAGGAGGCATTTGGAGATGGATGTTAAGCAAGCACATAGCACACACATGGAAATCAACATTGTGGAGGTATAGGAAGAACACACCAACTTTGTATTAAAGGAATTATTTTATAGAAGGCTTTTGAACTATATTTGAAAACTAGGGAATGCAGGATGATTTCTACCTTTTATTACTCAGTTTAATTTCAGAGAATACTATTTAAGAGCAGGACTTTAACAGCGTAAAGGAAAGGCAGTTTTCTGTGTCACAAGGTTTATAAATTACAATGGAAGTGTACATCTTGATATAAGATTCCTTAAATTTTTCTCTATATTTCTCAAGAGAAAAATTCTAAAAGAAGTTTGCCTGCTTTGAGTTACCAATTATTATACTGTAACACAACTAGCAATCACTCTCAAGAAAGAATGATTTTGTCTTGTTTCAGCTGTTTAGACAAATGTTTCATTGAGTTTACAAATAAGGACTCTTAATATTCTATTTCCATTTCCCTTCCCACAGCATAAATCATCTGGCCTAAGCACGTCATTATGACTATAGTTTACATGATGCAACATGACAGTTAAGATGTACTGTGGTAATTTGAGTGCTTTCAGTGTTATTGTAGTATCAAAAATTTATATGGTTCAGTTATTAAGGCAAATTGCTTCATTCATACAGTGATATCTGACAGTAACCACAAAGGACCTCCAAATTACACTGGAAAAATATCACCCACATTCAAATAATTTGTGCATGTGCCTGCCATTATTTTTGCTCACTGAATAGAGGCAAGATGAAATTCTGTCTGGAAAAGTATCAGATGATATTTCAGGGTAAGTTCACCAGACATGGAAGATTACAGAACTCTCCCTTGCCCAGCTAAGTAAACCTGACTATCTTTAACAATTTATAGCCATGAACAGGATGCCCAATCCTTTGGAATGATGCTATTTAGTTTCAACATGCTCACTTACCTTCTGTCATGTTGATTTTCAGCCAACAGAAATAAATAAATAAATAAGAGGTTGACTAGCCTGAAGTGACTATGGAGGAAAATGTGTTAAATACATTAGTGTTAGCATTTCTGCTAAGTTTTAGCATAATTGGGGTTACATCAAATGAAAAGCTGTTAGGCTCTCTTCACATTTAAGGCATATTCAATCCTCAACTCTACTTTCTGGAAAAAATGGGGTTTTCATGAAGGTATCATGGAATTAGTATTAACCTGCAGGACACGAATATGTGCATATGTGCACACTTGAATGCATGCATACTTAAACATATGCATTAGAACTGTCACAGAGCTCACAACAGCATTTACTGAGTTCTAGGGCAGAGAGCTCCCCACTCACTAGTTTCTTGCCAACCATTAGAGTTTTGTAACACACCCCCACAACATCTGATACACAACTTGCATCTCTGAAAAGCAGACAAGGGAACTGGTTTTGAAAGCTGAGGACAAGGTGGGAAGAGAACAGGACAAGCTGCACCACATACCAGCTAATTCATTCAAAAAACAATACTGCAAACTATCTAAGCTTCTCTAATACCTCGGCAGCAAAAGACCAGTGTGGGCTTAATGTCAAAGATACTTAGATAATTTTCTCTACTTAACTTTTGGCCTCACAAGGATACTCCACTCCATATGACTGTTTCCTTTCTGCTTGCAATTTTGCTGGTCAAATAGCTAGCTAATTTAATCTTCCCTCAATTCTATTCCCCTTCAAAGCCTCACCTCTTTTCTTAATAAATCAAATTAGCATTTAGGCAAGTACAATCTGCACTTACTTTGTTGCCCAAATAAGAACTGGGTGCACTCCAATAGTAAGTCTGTGGCAGTACTTTTCGTGCAGCCTCGTTGCTGATGCTAATCTGCTGATGCCCATCAAATCTTCTTTGCTTAGGGGTAACTCTGATGAGACCTGGTAAGTCTGTCAGATACCAACCATTCAAGTCTTCTATCTATAAGGAAAATAAATGAATAAAAACACATTACAATGACAATCAGGACATCAATCATTTCCATAGTAACAGTCATTTTCTTCCATTTTTAAAAACCTGATTGCGTTGCTTATGAATAGTAGCAATTTAGGAACCAAGGAAAACACAAAGTAATAACAGCAAACATTCATTGTATATGACTGGGAGTTACAGCTTCTGAGTAGTTTGAGTAACTGCAAGTATTTGCTTTCTCTGCTTCATATGGCCCAGAGTGAGGAAGAAATTCTGTCATACAAACATATGTGTAAGAATATCTCCAAATATTATGCAAGTTTTCAATAAATAATATCTATCACAGGGTGTACAAAAGATGAACTGACAAATGGATATACATTTTCTGATTGCTGTAGGCAGCATAATATGCAATAATTTTAATTCTAAAGCCCTACGAGTACAAATACACTTTTTAGGAAGCCAAAGCAAAGCTGGAAAGCACCAGAACTCTGATTTCTGAAATTCCATAACTAAAAATGAATCATTAAAGAAAAGCACACTATTCATATAAGAATGGCTTCTGGAGCCCAGATACAAGGAGATCAATAAACGAGCTTAACCATGGAGCGGAAAATTTTCCAGTTGCTGGTATGAAAGTGAGAGCACTAGGCATATATGATGTTACTTGCAGACTTCCAGCATAGCAATATGGCCAAAACCAGAAGCTAGTAGACCTGGAACACATTTTCCAAACTCAATCTACAGGCATGAATATGTAGCATACATCCATTACAGTGGAATCAGTGTCTGAGCGTTGAGAACTAATTTACAGTTTAGAATGTATTTGCAGGCTAAAGACATTTTTCTACAGCACAAATAAGAACAGTAAGTTCATCTCCCTTTTCACGTCCTTTCCTAGTAATGCAGTATACAAAAGAAATGCACTTAAAATGCCCCCTGCAAGGCATTCCTTTTTCTTATTTATTCTGCATGTTGTACATTTAATGTCTCTAAATTCTTAATTATTTCAGGTCTAGAATTTTAATAATTACCTGGACAAGAGGTTAGCCTATGGATATGGTGCATTTAACTCAGGACTTTTTATGTATGTATATTCCAGGACTGTGCTTATGCACATGGCTTAATTTTTTACTGTTACAGTTTCTTTTGTGTTTTTCACTGTTCCAACTGCACTATTTCAGAACTTTCCCACAAAGAGGAGAAACAAAGCCTATAAGCATTTTCTTCTGGATAAATGAAATATATATGGGACGTAAAAGAACATGTATGATTTTCTAATAAGATGCACCCTGGTGACAGTGGTAAGTGACAGCACATAAAACCACAGAACCAATGACATGTACTGGTACTGTATAATTTTTCTTACACTTCTGTAGGTAAGGTGAGAGTGTGTGCAGATGTTTGTTTTCCCAGAGCAGAAACATTCCTCACAGCCTTCAGGATTATTTTGCTGAAGATTGAAGAAACCTGGTTTGCAACGGTCACAGTTTTCTCCTTCAACATGTTCCTGGAATTGAACATTAAAATGTTACTGCAGTTGTCATAGATTAGAATTTGAGATGACTGGCCTTATACTCTTCAGGAGGGTATAGACTGCAGGACTCTAATGACATTTATAGGAAAGACTTTCTTATTTGTGAATGTTAGTAGCAAATCCTTTACACAATAAAAGGTACTATGGCTGCATGTGTATAACAGGACATGGAATGTGGATATTAAAAGAGTTTTAATTTTTCTTCTACATGAATGGGCATACTTGATTTCAGGGAATAGTCTAATTTATATCCTTTACTCTTGAGAGTCTCAGAGAGGAAGGAAGTATGGGGCACAATGTTACAACCTCAACAATTGTGGTTTGTAGGTAGGGCTGATAAAATCTGTGCACATCCAACTGATGCAAACTACAGGTACATAGCATTATTTATACTAATTGCTCAGTGTATTGGTTTTTAGGGGATCTATCATAAATCATTGAATTCAAGCTAAATCCAAGAACTGAAAGGACTGTACTACTTCTTTCTTTAACTACATGTGTCTGCCAGACATGCAGCCAGGTCTGCAAACTCTTTCCTTGCAGAAAGACAGGCATTAAATATACATGTATAATTCTAAATTTAGCATTTGGTAATTCTGTTTTTCATAGAAAGCTTATGTTATGCATTAAGTCTTGCTACCTTCAACTATAGGCAAAGATAAAGTTAGCTTTCCTACAAGGAGTATGTTGCAGGAATATCATGCTATGGCGGTAGGTTAGTAACTCAATATTTTTTCAAACATAGCTCAGAAAATTCTTTCCCTTTCAAAAGTGTTACACACAGTCTCTAATCCTGCAGATAATGCTCTATGGCATGAACACAGGACCAAACTGTTGGCTCTGTGTCAGCAGAGAATGAACACATTCTAAAAAGCCTGCCCACGATGTGTAGTCTAGGATCGCTTGAAATACACAGCTCTGAAGTTCACAAAAAGGCATTTGATAGTCTCCAAGTTAAGATCTAGCAAAGATGGAAAAAAACAGGGCAAAGCAGGTCGAGGGATGGGGAGAAAGGACATCACACATGAATTAAGAGAAAATAGGGACAAGGAGTGGGAAGAGGCAACAATTGGCAAAAAATGAGATAAAATGAAAATGTAAATAGGTTTTCATCACTAATTTTACAGTAACAACATGTGCGGCAAAGTATCTTTGTTTTGTCTCTACTGCTATTCTCTATGCTCCCCTTCAATGACATCACACATACTCTCCTAAACAAACACAAATGTCTTTAAAACAAATCAAGACAAAACAAGTCAATTACATTCAACTTCAACATCTCATTAATGTCAAGAATGGTATTTTTACATTTTCACCAGCAATCTCAGGATTAATCAGAGCATATTATTGACACAGGTATGCCAAAATCACCAAGTTACTCATGCTTCAGTTGAAAAATAACATGGGTAACATCCAGCCATAGAGATGCACTCCTGCATGGTCCTAGAACTAGAACTCTGAACAGTGATCCCAAAAAGTCTCAGGCCGTGGTGATGTGCTTAATAATGTACGTTTGTGCAGCCCCATATATTTCTGAATCCTGTTCAGTCTAGTTTTATATTATGCAAAGATGAGACTTTGACCTCCAGAAAGTTTCAATAATTAGTGAAAAAACAGGCATTTATACTTGCCCCTCTCCTTTCTGCACTATAGCTTTCTCTAGTTAATGTGGTAAAGATAACAATTTAACACCCACTTTCTTGCATTTTGCTGCTTGCAGGTAGAACAGCTTTTCTTCAATTTCCTTTACAAGAAAACTATCTTTAGCAAATTTACAGCTCATCATAGGTAATTGAAAGATGTGATTAAAAGAAGGGAAGCATTTTTCCTAAGACCTGCCATTAACCAGACATCCCACTTTATTCTTCATATGGAGCATAACTAATGTGATGATTTCAGTGTCCTTTTGACCATAATCTGCTTTGATTTGAATTTGAAGATTGCTTGTGAAAATAAATGTGTATGTATCTGTATCTCAGCTATCTGCAAAGGGTATCATTTTTCTTGCACAGCACTTAAAAAGGGATTAGAGAAGCAGAAAGATGACAAAGGATGAATAGGAAGGGGCAAAGAGTATATAGTGAGAACTCTCAGGGATAGGAACAATTATCTCTATCCTTTAATGTGTTCATTTTGGTCTGATTGCAATAATAGGTTAGTTTGGCTTTACACAAATAATGTCATAAGAATCATTAAGATGTAGTTATCTTGTATTTAGCATAGTACACCTTCATCAAAGTTTCTTGTCAAATCAGAATGCAGAGAAAGCACCCCTTTTCTGATCTTCTAGACATGGTGGCTAAGGAATTAGACCTCTGATATGGATAGATTTTATTTCTGACAAGGAGCATGTGACTGTTACATAAAGTGAGAATAAGGGTAATTCTCTGAGTAGATTTTGGTGTTATTCAGCTGTCACACCACAGCTTTATGGGTGTCCACAGCACGAGCTTATAGATTGCAGCATTTTTTTGTACATTCTTGTATGTAAGGATGTAATGCAAGTCTTTTTAAATTCTCATTTGTGACTAATTCTGTTAATTAAATGCTGGAAGGAAATTCCCACAAGTACAACACAGAAAAACTGACCCACAGTACATTAAGTTGTCCTTTGAGCATATTCACGGTCACTTACTAAACTGTGACATAGAGAGCATGACCATTTCTAAAGCATTTCTGATAACTAGTATTTTATAAGTAGAGGATGCATGTGTTTCTAAAAGTATTTTTTTATTTCAATATATTATCTATATGTAATTTGATGGAAGATCACTCTCTTAAATTTTCTTCCTAGAAATGAAGAAATTCATCCTACAGAAAGGATGGATTTTGGTTTTTTTAAATATGCTAGACATTTCTAACCAACCATCCCAAGGCAGGAATGAATGCTCTCAGTTTGGAACTTAGCAAGAAAAGAGGAATATATCCCTAATGACAACTCCTAAAAGGCAACTTTCTTGTTTTAATAGATCTCCAGTTCACCTATTTTCTCATTATAGGTTAGTTTTAGAGTTCGCAATACTGCAAACATATAGTTTCTGAAGAGATTAGGATGGAAGTTTGAAACAAATGATTCACGGGGTTTAATAGAGTATCCCTTCATTACAGATTTCTAAGGACTTGTCTGACTGGCAGCAGGCACCTAGGTAAGTATGTTAGTTACAATGAATTCGGAAATGACACAAGACAATCTAAGACTTTGCAGGACCAAGAACAAGTGTTTGGTGAGAAGTGACTAACAGATATTAACAGAGCTACGTAGAATAGTGGAACACTATTATATGATAGAAGAACATTAACTGTGATCTTTCAATATCAATAGTATTTTGCTATGGCTCAGAGAAATTTGACATCCATGCCTTGCAGATGCAAGGACCTATGCACGGGTCATCATTCTCACTGCCTTTCAGTGAGCAGTTGCAGGGTAGGCACTCGGGATATCCTTTATAACCCAAGGCACATTGATTGCAGCTCTCTCCTCCATAGCCAGTCTTGCAGTGACAGAAACCAGGCAACATATCTATTGAAAGAGGGAGAAAACATAAGATATATTATTGTCAGATATGTGTGTTACAGTGCTCAAAGCAACACCTTGGTAGGTGTAACATAAGGGTATTTACTGTTGGTCACACCAGCATCTCTTTAACTCATTGTCCTATGTGAGAGAGGCTAGAATAAAGCATGTAAGACTAGGGAAATATACAGTGATTTGAATTTCCAGAAGTCTGCATATTAGAGATCTTGAAAACAGAAACTTATCCCTACTTCTTTATATCTAATAGCCCTGAAAAACTTCTCTTCCATTAATTCAGCTAAATGCCTTTGAACATGCTTTTAATTTCAGTATCCATAAAAACACCCAAGCAGGCAGTTCCACGTTTAGCCTTGTGTAGTGTGAAAGAAAACACAGATGTGTTAAATCTCTATTTAGTGCACTCTAATTCTCATACCATAGAAAGCAGCAAGTAACCATTCTCTTTTTCTATATCATCTGTGACACATCCCACAGGACACTTTTATTTCATACACTAAAAACTCCTAAGCCTACTCAATATCTCTACACAGAAACTGCTTAGTGTGGCTGAAAATCTCTGTTGTTCCTCTATGCACTATTTCCACTTCTATAAATTATTTAAGAAGGGAGCACATGATGTAGACCTATAAATGGTTTGGTGATTTTTTTCAGTTTTGTTTTTGAAACAACAGTAATATTTCCTAAGGTCCTGTTGATCTTTTTGGCTGCTGCTGTGCCAGGACTGAGCTGGTAGACCCCCAGGGCACCATCCAAGGTAATTCCAAGAGCTTTTTCACAACTCGCAGTTGTGAATTCAGAATTGCTGAAATCATTGTACAAGTATAACTACTTTTTTGTGGTGTTCTTCTTTTCCTTTAATTGCCACAGAAATTCATCAGTAATTTTACTACCCAGCCACTGACTATCTGAAGATATTTCTGAATGTTTTGCATTTCTTTTCAATTTTCTATGCTGAAAGATTTTGTACTTGCTAACTTTGTCACCTTCCTACTCATCCCTTCTCTAGGTTAAATATGAATACTTTCAACAGTTCATATTGATCATCACTGTGGAAATGGTCCATTTATTCTTTTAACCAAGTACTGATCCATGAAAGAACCTTTCCTCTTTATTCTATTACACTTTCTTGTGTGGTCTTTGGTAAAGGATCTTGTCAAAACCTTTTGAAAATCAAAATACAATATTAATCAAATGAGCCTTTGTTCACATGTTCATTTAATCCTTCAAACGGATCCTTAAGGCTGACTGTCCTCTACAAAATAAACCTGATCTTGAGTTCTGTTCATTTTTGCCACTGTTCAGAAATGGTATAAATCATTTATTGTAGTTCTACTGATTTGCTTGGTACAGAAACCAGACCTTCTGATTCTAGTTTCCTGGATCCCCCTGCCTATCTTTTAGACACTGGATAAACAGTTTTTATTTATGCAATATTAAAGTTAATTAAAAAATATTATAAACTATATTTAATGCCTCAAGGAACTCCATTTTCAACTACTCAACTCATCCAGACACCATGGATAAATACAACACATGCCTGATGAATTTTTATTCTGCATTTATCAGCTTTCTTTAAACCCGACATTTCTGTTTGAGACAGTTCTTCTGACTTGTCACCATGAACAAAGACTCCCAAGTGGGAAATTCCCTGAGCTCTTTTATTCACTGATATAAAGAATTAATCTAGCTTTTCTGCTTTGTCCTTTTCTCTTTCTTGAGATCTCGTTATAACTTGATTACACCTAAACCGTATTTAACTCCTGCTGCATTTGAATGTCTAGCAGTCTTTTTGATTCTGATTTCTCTGAATAAGTACTTCTTAGCATCATCTAAGTATTTAGCAATTTGTCCCTTAAAATATGTGTGTGTTATTAAGAGTATGGCTCTCCAGAATCTGTCACAATTTACATCCCTTTCTATTATCTTCAATTGGAAATTACTTTGCTCTTTCAGAGAGCTTCTTTTTTATTGTTTAAATATATATCTTTTTCAGTTTAATTGCATTGCCTGAATGATTTTGAACTAGAGGAATACATCTTCTCTGAATGTCTTATATGCTATCTATAAAGATTAGCAATTAGCCACTAGCAATCTCGGATTGTTAATTTTTATTTTCTTTTTAAAGGTTTTCACGTTTTAAGTTGTCTTTATTTTTAGGGAGGCCTTTTCATTCCTACCAGAATGCTGAATTTGACTGTCCTTCAAGAGGAGAGTTTTAAAACTATTCCTCATGCATAAATCTAGAGGTGCTTCTCCTTTTTATGGCTTCTCTAACTATATTTAAGAATTCATCTACAGGAGTTTTAAGGTGTATTATCTGTTAATCTATACAGATATGAAATTCAATCTGTCTACACTAACCTTGCATCCTCTTTGATCTCCTATAGCACATCATACTGACTGTCACCTTCTTGATCTGTCCTAATTATATACAGAATTTCGGTGCAAGAAATTTCTGTGTTACTTACTATCTCAAAGCCATGCGCTCCATGGGCTTTTATGCCTGTGGCTCAGCTAATTCTCAAATTTCTGAGTTATCCTCCTATCAACCAGCCACCAGTGGAGCCCCACAGCACAGCTGGCTACAAACTCCCTTGCAATCTGGGTCAATGCATCTTAGCTGGACAACCTGGAACAGAGAAACTTCTATTCCTTCCAGATGAAAATACCCTGCTGTGCTCCAGGGTCCAGCAGTAAAATATACAGGCAAATTTGCTCTTTAGAAGTGAGCCAGTCTCATCTGAAAGTTTCAAGAACTCATTCTTATGTCTCACAAGGTCTCATAAGTTAAATCTCAGCAAACTCAAATTCAATTAAATGTCTCTGTATGGTAACTCCCAAATACTCATTTCCTCCACTGCCCAGTCAGTTAATTTTTTTTTTTATTCCTTATCAAGAACCTTCCCTTCTGCAGCTCTTCCTTTCTCTCCAGTCAAGGAAGAGAGACCAGGATTGGAAACTCTCACCAGCTCAGCCCAGCCCAGCCCATTCTTACACAGCATACACGGGCACGGATAACCTTCACTTCACTATCAATCAAGAGACCTCACACTCCACACATCAGAGAAAGGAAGGCATAGAGACTGCTAACTGTACTTTCAGCTCTTAGGCTTGTTGATATGGTTAGTCTGTGTATTTTATCTGGCTTCATGCCTTCTTTCATTTACAGAACTTGCAAGATCTTGGCTCTGACTGGATTACACAGTATGTAAATTCCTCTCAGTATTCCACTGGTTATTTTTGACCAGGCTTCTGTAGTGCATATGTAGTGTATATTATGTCAACAGTTAAATTACATTTTGATTCAGGACAGACGTTTGAGGTCTGTCCTTTGTTTTTGTTGTAATGAACTAACATTTTAGCAAAAGCACATCTTTTGCTTTTGGTTTATGACTTCATAGGCCTTGTTTGAATGGGGCTTTATTTGATGAAACTGTTATTCCTTGTTTTCTACCTGAATATTATCAGTTTCTGTTCTATCTTTGAGCATACAGAGGCCTTGAAAATTCGTCCTAGAGGATGAGTCATCTTGAAATATGAGTTTTATCAGTCAGTTTTCTCTCAGCCTACCAGTCTTTCAAAATTGCACAAAAATATATGCATGCTCCAGACCCTTGAAAAACCTGCAATCCCAGGACTGGCCTCTTATTTTCACTCCCGTTCAACAGCTTATACATTCCAAAAATGATCTCATGGTGGTCAGTGGGCCTGCTTGCTGAGCAAAGTACTACAAAACCTGAAGAAAGAGTGACATGTCTGGACCCTACTTATCCTAAAATGTTTGAGAAAGTTTTTCAGCAAAACAACCCATCTGTCATTGGGATTATATTGTGCATAAAGAGAAAATAGGGAAAAAAAATTGAATTCATGATAGCATGTGGTAAAGACTGAGTCATAAAACTCTGCCAGTTTCCAAACCTCACAAGTCTTGCAGGTGCTTAAAAGCCAAGTAAAATGACTATTTGTTAAAATATAAGCACTAGGTCTTGAGACAAGAGTACAGATTCCCTGAGAGAGCCCTAATTACTTGAGTGCAGAGTAGTTCTGAATGTAGAGGTTCCACCATTTCTTCTTTATGGACAATTGCAATTCATTCTAGAATGCTGACTGAAACATGTGATGATAAAGTTATACTATGATGATCAAAATGGAAATTTTATGTACTTAATATACAAAAATATTTCTTTTTCTCCTGAAACAATGAATATTGTATAATAAAGCAGTTTCTTCATTCCCTTCTCTTATCTGCCATGGCCTGATTATGACTTCAAGATGATAACATGGGATAAAATGTTTCTAAAAATCATGGGAGTTAAAGTAGGCCTTAGTGGCAAGCTAGCTGAAGTAGGCCTCAGTGGCAAGGTAGCTAGAATAGGTCTTAATGAGAAGAGTGATTATTATCTTAGCAGGTCGATGTGTACCTGTGCAAGTACACCTGGGTACCTATCTGTACGTACCCCCCTAAATAACAGATAATTATACCACCATCATGGAAAAGGGGGTTCGAACTCATGCTCGGGTGAAATACAACAATGATGGAAGGAGGACTGAAACTCATGCTTGGGTGAAGCATAACAAGGATGAAAGAGAACTCGAATCATGCTTGGATGAAATCAATAGAACAATAGCAAAGTAATGATTAACATATGACTATACCATGGTTATGTAAGAGAAGAGTATAAAAATGTATCCATCTCAGAACCATGTCGGAGTCAGATTTGGGTCTGTACCCCGACTCCCAGAGCTCTTCAATAAAAGCACCCATATAATCATTCCGTGATTATGTGTTTTCTACGCTAACAAAGACAGTCATTTAAATCCACTTGATGTACTTCATCAATGTACCAGTTATTACAGTATTTGCAACAATTTTCCATTTTGATTGCTGCTTACCTACTGTATTCAAGCACTCTGAGAACGTACAGCCTCCAGCTTTATTTTACTTGAGAACTGTTCACAGTAACTCTATATCCCCAGTGATGTTCCTTATTATCATATTTCCATTTTAGTTTAATGCTTTTTTCCTTTCTCAAAGCATTTACTTACCACACATTTAAGAAGCATATTCCCATCTTACACCAAGCAAACAATTTATCCTTAAACAACTAGCCAGCAAACTCTGAGATGTATTTCAGCCTACCCAGTGTGTTCATTCTAGTTGAAAGGTGAGTAGAGAGATTCCTTCAGACAAATCATGCTTTCTAGCCTTTCCTTTATGAAGGCTCCCCAGTGCTTCAAACCCAAGTACTACCCATGGTGAGCAGTATACAGTAAAAGAATTTTATCAGTGTACTGAATATAAATTTGAGGGGAAAAAAGTGATCTGCTTTCAGGATCATTTTATGCTAAAAAATGATATCCAGACTTGCTTGCAATTCTAACACAATCTCTTCTATTACCACAAAAATCTTTTCTTGAAAGAAATATTAAAAAGGCTTTTTCTTTTAACTAGCACTATTGTGTCTTTTCTGCTGAAAGACATTACTGTCACAAATATAGCCCACAGGTCCAAAAACTATAATCAAACACAATGTTCAAGAAGTAAACAGTTTTCCTGATGTCTTGGAACCTTATTTAGTACTACAAGAAGCAAATAAATGGTAAGAAGACATTGTAGGCAGAATAGCTGTGAAACCTAATTAGATGTAAAACTCACTTATTTTTGCATTTGTGGTCTTTAAATACGTAAATAATAAGATAAATATCAATATATTGTCCTCTGGGCACTGTGTAGACAGTGTGAAGTGACCACTTCTCACCAAACTCCCAAGACTGGGCAGGACACAGACAACTGGTCTGGTTTCAAGAACAAATGCATGGACAACTTTGCCAGGAGAATTCCATATACACAGTTACCTAAAAAACAATTATTGTCTCATCATATATAAGAAGTAGTAGTTTAAACACATGGAATGACCTCTACAGTAAATAAGTTGAAAAGAGGAAACATCAGTGGATTTGAAAAGGAATAAAGGGAAAAATTACTTCATGTGTTACAAGCAGCAGATTCAACAGAGATTAATAGCACTCTAATGTGCACAAAAGGCCTCTAGCCAACTGAAGAAAAACAAGTTAACTTGCAGGAAGATCAGGAGAAGATGGTTGCAGTCAGAAGAGAAAAAGATGAGAGTTTTCCTTTTGTGAAGGAAGCAAAAGAACTCTCTGGTTTTCAGGACTGGAGGAACTGCAGAGATAAGATGCTTGTTTGAATGCCTGGGGTGAGATAAACAGCACTGGCCACTTGCAATAAAAGTAAAAGGAGGCAAACCAAAAAAGAGAGAATCAAATTTTGGATATGTTATCTTCAATATGGAGGCATGACACAATTCTTGATTTACCAGAAAGACACAGTTAACAACCAAACAGGAGCTTTATTCTCTTCCTTGAGAGGTCCAGAAAAGAGGTCAGGGAAGAATTTACCAAAAAGAAGATCAGAGGATTAAGGAGGCAAAAGGAGATACAGGAAGCAAGGTGTCAAAGCATGGTACCTCCTTGTCATATCACAGAATCTTCAGAGTTGGAGGAGGGAAATGAAGGTAAGAACATGCTTCAGGCACCAGAGCAGATATACCCCTGAAGCCCCTGGAGGATACCAAGCTGGAGCAGAGATCCACACTGAAACTCATGAAGGACCCCATGAAGGAACAGGTAGATACTTCTTGAAGGAACTATATCCCATGGAGAACCCATGGTAGAGCAAATTTTTTTCCTGAAGGACACAGGCCCATGGGAAGCACCCACATGGGAGCTGGGGAAAAGTATGAAGAGAAAGGAGTGCCAGAGAGGAACTGTTAAAACCACAATCCCTGCTCCCCATCACCCTACACCACTTGTGGTAGTGGGGGAGAAGGTAGAGGAGTCCAGAACAAAGGAGTGAGGTGGAGTAGGGATGGGGAGGGGGAGGAAGAAGGTGCAAGAGGTGTATTTTTTATTTTTGTCTTTGCTTATCACTATTCAAATCTATTTAAATTGGCAATAAGTTAAATTAATTTTCCCCAAGTCAAGTCTGTTTTGCCCATGACAGTAATTGGCAAGCAATCTCCTGGTCTTTACTTTAACCAGTGAGTTGCTTCATCTTATGTACTGCCCCTGTCCTGCTCTCCTGCAGCCAGCCAAGTAAATCAGTATCATTTTATTGAACTGATGCAATCAGTACATGTTTATTGCAATATATTTTACATCTCTGGGCCCTGTATTTGCATCTCCACCAAGCTGCTTCTATGCTCTCTATTTCAAAAATGATTGCTATATTTCAAAGGATCCTAATTAGCCCAATTAAAATATTTCCTAAGAACTGATCTTGAGTTTTGCTGTTATCTTCCTATGGAATTTTCTTAAGTTTTACAACAAAAAAACCATAAAACATGGCAGCCCATTGCTTCCAAAGTACAATGAAGCAGATTATTGTCTAGGTGAAGACAGCTTTTACAGGGCTATGGTAAATATCTTGCAACTCTACATTAATACTATAGAAAGTACACAAATATGACTCCCTTCAAACAGACTTTTTTCTAGATTTCAAATGGAGATATGCTTAGATAGGAAAACAGATTAAAATAGTGCTGTATTAGCTTTAATCTCTGTCGTAAAAGAAGAATGCTTCAATATTTTCCATTGGGAATGCTTTTCCAAATGTATCCAAGCTATGAATCTGAAAGGAGCCTCAGCAAATTAGGAATATGATTTTCAATAAAAAAATTATTATAAGAATAGGTGGATTATCATTCACATGAGCAAACCTTAAAAAAAAAAGAAAAAGAAAAAGAAAAAGTTGTGGGTTGGCTTTATTTTTCATTAAAGATACCAAAAATGTGTTTCACTTTGCTTTGACTGCTGCTGAAATTAATCTTTAACATCACTGTTTTTGAGGGATCTTACCTCCTTCTGCATGTTTCTCATCCTTAACACAAGTATCATTTAAAGAGCCATTTGGATCACAGGAACATGGCTGGCATGGATCTCGGCTATCTGGCAATACCTATAAAAATAAAGAGGTTACAGAACAAAACCTTACTCTTAATAATTGGAAACTTTTATTTACTTCTTAAACAAAAAGTAGGTGAGAACAATTTCTGTGTTGGTGGATATATCAAAAATGAGATAGTTGATAAACTTAGTCTATGCAGTCTAGGACAAGAGGAAAGGGCCTCAAATTGCACCAGAGATTGGATACTAGGAAACATTTCTTCACAGAAAGGGGTGTCAAACATTGGAATGGGCTGCCCAAGGAACTGGTGGAGTCACCATCCCTGCAGGTATTTAAAAGATGTGTAGATGTGGCACTTAAGGACATTGTGTAGTGGTAGACTTGGTAGTCTTAGGTCAAAGGTTGAACGTGATTATCTTAGAGGTCCTTTTCAACATAAGTGATTCTATGTTCTATGATTATATTAAGGTTAATTTTTGGATTTTCATTTAGAAACTTGTAAGTGACATATACAAATATGCTTTCATTTAAAAAAAACCAGGTGTAGAGATTCTAAAAGACCCTAATATAGTTAAAATCAATAAATGCAATGAAGTAGACTTTAAGCATTTACTACCTAAAGTAATATTGACAAATAGCTCAGGTGTCCTTGTCAACACAACTCAAAAAACTAACTAATCTTAGTCAGTAACTGAACAAAAAGGTAAGTGAATAAAAGTGAACATTAGGCAATGGAACAATTTCTTTTTGTTCTTGAAAATGTTACCACAGATAAACTTGAAGCTTGGTCTAATAGCACACTGGGAATATAAACTACAAGTTCTGCATGAGCTAGGGTACATCCACATACTACAGATACAGTGTAAACACACATACACATATCAAATCTCTATTAGTTGGGTGATAACCTGATTCAGAGGAAAAATTAAGTAAGTGTCCTGCTGCTGATGAAATCAGTACTCAGGACTCCTTTTCTCAAACTCTAAGGCTAAACCCAGCAAAAACAGGAAAAGGTAATTATTGCTATTTGCTGATGATTTCTGTTTGAGGACTGAATGCCTGACTAAAGGCCATGATTTACCCATCTAAAACTATATAGACCAAATATAAGGAATTTAGGCACACACTAATACTGTAGCTGTCTAAAGCACAGGCACAGCCCATACTGACAATACAAATTAACATAAAAGATTCATCTTCTGGCAGCTTCAGCTTAGATGAAAATATAGCCTTATATGATGAAATACAAAAATCAATTCCAACTGCACTGAAATTTAAAGTCATTCATGAGGCACTATGGAATTTCAATGGTTATTAATTCCACATTACATTTCAAAAATAAAAATTACAGACTCTTTGTCAATATCAAATATAGCAATATTTCTTTGAACTTTGATAACAAAACTTGCAATTCATTACTGAGGCAAAAGTTCTGTTTACAGGACCACATCCTCCTTTAAATTAAATTGAAATACTAGCTGGAGGACCTGACCTCAAGTACATTCCTTCATATCAACACAATTCACTTTCCATTTCTCTGAGTGTTAACTTTATGGATTTCCAGCTGTGAAAAGCAACTGCTGCACTGTCAGAATTAGAAATTAACCTTCATAAAATGGCAGTCCCAACTGCCACATCTTTTTTAAAACTTAATGTCCCACGCTGGTGATGATTTCAACACCAGGCTTTAAAGAGAAGGGACAACAGATCATGCATTTACCCCTTTAGGTCTGAAGTATCCATCAATGCAGGTCTCACAGTTTATGCCACTGGTGAAGTCTGTACAATTCACACACACTCCACCCCCAATGTATTCTCCTTGGATATTCAGACTCTGATTTCTGTCTGCAACATCCTGATCATAGTAACACTCCTCAGTCTTCCCATGACAGTTGCATGCTAAAAGAGAACGAACATGTTAGCAAATACATTCCCACTGGAAATGCCCCACTGTCACTAAGGTATTAAAAACAGTCATTCAACATTTTACCATAGGTGCTGTGTATACTGTAACTGACAGCACATCCAAGCATTCATTTACTGCTTCATTTCTGAAAATTAATGTGGTGCCATCACAAACACAGCCTGGAATTTTGTCTGTTGCATCTTTTTCCTTAATGTTTTTTCTCAGGGAGTATGGAAGTTGACAGACATAGCCCAATTATGATATTCCTCTTTCATTTTAGGTTGTTTAAATTGATAGTTGAGAAACCTTTTGCTGGTTGCACACAAGGCTCATGAAGAAGTCAACTAAGTTGAAATATAAGAGGACTTATAAGGAAAGCAGCAAAATGGTATGAGCAAACTAAAATAAGTTCCATGAAAGCTAAAAGACATCCTAAAAGCACTTGACTTGTACATATGCACATAAGAACTGAGTCAGAATAAAGGGATTCCCAAGCTTTGTACTTCTTTTGATGTTCATATTTGAACTTTTAGACTTCAGCCCCACATGCAGGAAAGCTAATCTAATAATCTGTTGCTGTGAAAACAAGGTAGCTCACTATCTCTTGCTTCCCCTGTGGTATTAAAATTTCCACATTAACTTCCACATAAAGAGAAATTCAAAGCTTGCTAACATTGTAGGGAGTCATTCTCCTTACATTGGACCCAGGTCCCAGGGAACTGTTTCCACCATGCTAGTACAATTCACTGAGGGCTGAACAGGCCATAAGAAGCATCTCAAAAATTAAATGCAAAAATAAATTTACTCTGATTTCATTCCAGAATACATTCCCAGTGCAGACACAGTCCTGACTGAAACAAAGACCTCAGTGACCAAAGTTTACAAGACACAAATAAGCAATAGCCACTTTTAATGTGGGTATATCTGTTTCTTTTTAATTATTTTAAGCCACTCATGGAAAAAAAAATATTTGAAATCTTACAAATGAACGCAGTACAAATGAATGCATCTTACAAATGGAGCACTAGATTTTATTATGTTTAGAAATATAAGTGGTATGTGACCTTTGGAAGTAATATGTTAAAGTTCAATTATAACTACCCTTACTACAATAAATCTGAAAATTAAATTCCCACCCTGTGGGAAGGTGAAATTTCAAGGAATGTTTTCATTCCGTGTTGGAAAACTAGACAAATTGTGTCTTCTGTTTAAAAAATCAGATGCTCAAATTGCATTTTGATCATGTAAAAATATTTTGTTTAAGCAAGGCTAATCATTATAACATACAAAACTACCATTTAAAGTTTAATTCATGAAAAATCTATAAAAAGATTTTTTTACTCTACCAGGATACAGTCCTGTTATATTATCAAACAAAACCATCATAATTCTAAAGATTAAACAAGTCAAAATTATTTTTATATAATATTTCTCAAATATCAGCACATTACAGTAAAATATTCCGAGATCAATAAAACCACATTCTACATGTAATTTTTCTGTTAACTTGTTCGAGCCACTGTAAATGAATATCACGCTAAATGTTATTCATAGAGATATATGGTTAGAAACAAAATTAATTGCAAAATCATGGAGGACTAGAAGTTTTCACTAGCAGTTGTAATAAACTTTCTCTTTCATACTGCTTTCAACTTACGTTCACATTCATGCTTATGCAGGAAAGTGCCAGCATGCCAAGGCTTTTGATGGAAACCAGGACAACACTGATCACATGTCTCTCCGCATGTGTTGTGCTCACACTGACAGACTGATTTCTAATTTAAGAGAAAAACAAATATTTACACCATGTGATGATATGAGGAATCTGTCCATGTACATAATCAACATTCCATCTCAAATTATGAAAACATTCATAATGGCTATAGTCTAATTCTTTTATTTATTCATTTTTATTCATTTATGTACCCTACATTCACCAAGTGTGTTTAACCTCTACAGCTGTATTTTAAGAAAACAGCCATGAAGCAAAGAAAGATAGTTAGCCAAATAATCTAAGGAGAATCTAAGAAACTAGGAGATTTTAATTCTAACTGGATGAAGAAATGAAGGTGGGAGAAAGAAAGTCTCCAAATACAACAAATAAAACAGTGTTGGTAGCCCTCAGATAGAACTTGACATTACAGGAAAACTGATCTGGCCATAGAAAGAGTGAGCCATTCTCTACCCTTCCCTTAGATGCAGCTATCCTGCGCTACAGAGTGAAATTAATTCTGATGGCTAATTCAAGAAAAATTGGCTTTATTTTCTGAACTTCATGTGCTGGTTACATTTTGACTGGGTAAATCAGCTCATCATGCAACCTTCTAACTGCATAATTCATCCTATGAGAGGGATAGCAGGAGTGTTTAAATAAGAGATGAGCACAAGTCCAGCCTTTCAGACACACTTCAGTTCCCTCAGCAGACTACCTTAATCCCAGTACGAAAATATTGCTGTAGGGAGTACCAAACTCTGAGGCACAGAAGCAGCTTGGAAAAGGTAAAAGAAACTGTGGTTTGGAGAAACTAGAAGCAGAAGTTGCCTTCCCAATAGTTACTCAGTGAGGGGGATTCTCTAAGGTCCCTGTGAAGCCATTCAAGGTCAAAGCAGCGATCTGGAGAAATTCTATGGTTCACATGACAAAGCATAAATCTTGCAAAACAAGGCTAAGTTAACAAACGCTTCAGAAAAGCAAGGCAGTAAATTCCAGCAAGTTTATTATTTGCAATGCTAAGGGAGACTCTGTGGTAACAACTACCATCATGTTGCTTATGAGCCTATTTTGGTATGGCTTAGTCTAAAGAGTGTCCCTGGAGAGCAAAACCTTCAAATTTCTTCTGACTTGTTTCCCTTATGCTATGTTTTGTACTGGTCAGACAACAAATCTGTATTTGTCATCCTGCAAAACAGGACACCACACTTGTCAAAATGCCTTTATTGTATATTTTATCTAGTAGCTGAACTAGCTGAAGTATGTATTAATCACAGTAACAGCACTTATTTTCTGAGGCAGGCCCAATTCTAACAGATGGCACTGAGTCAGTGTTGCAGACTGATAACTAAGGGCATCAGAAACAATAGTTCAACATTTACTATACGCATCATTACAGAAAAGGCTCAGAAGGATTAAACCAAGGAGTTTTCAAAATTTTTACTGCCATCCATAGGAACTACATAGAACTGTAAATGCATTCTGTTAGATTTCTTCAATTTACTTTTTTTTAATGAGTTCCTACATAAGTACTTAATGTCACATACAAACAAGATTATTCTGTTAAATCCTATAAAGCTCCTACTTAAGTGAATAGCATATGAAGAGATCCCACACTAAGGCATGTAATATTAGTAGATTGGAAGTTCTGTATTAGTGATAATGTGTGCCTGAAGTTGGACAATCAGTAACAAATTATATTTCTATATTTCAGCTATATTGGTTATGTGTTTATTATGTTGGTTATGAGCAAAAAAGAGTTACAAGTTGGAAGACATTATAAACAGCTCATGATTTTCTAGATTAGCTCAACTGATCACTCAATATTTCCTGCACAGTATATGCACCATTCTAGAGCCATCATTTGTTTGCAAGTTTCAATTAAGTATTTGTCAGTCATTTAGGAAACACCTTAATTAAAATGAAGAAGGAAAAGGCAGACTGACTGTTAGTGCTCATTTCTACAGCTACATAGTGTAACCCAGACTTCTGTTGTTCCTAGGAAACTTCCAATATGGACTGAATTTTCTGAAACCTATTCTTTCATTTCAAGAAAGCCTCTGCTGTCATTGTATGAATGTTTATTATTCTGGTTGCCAGCAGTGTTTCATCCTGGCACTGCTTCTGACTGTTTTTCTAGGTGAAAATAGTCATAAATTCACAGAACATTAAGGAATATCGATATCGGGGTTGTCTTGATATTTTTTCTTATGTTCTACCCTATAAATAAGGAATATTTAAACACATAAAAAAAAAAAGGAAGAAAGAAAGAATACCTACATTGGTCATTGGATCCAGTGGACAAGCCTTCGCATGGCCTGAACATATACACATACCTCCAACAGATATGTCTTTTATAGAATAGTAATACTGTAAGACAAAACAGAAATTGAATTGCTAAATGGATTCTAAAATACAGGTGCCAAACTGACAAACTCATTTCTGGTGACAAAACTGTCAGGTCCTGTTTTATTTCTTTTTTTGATCTATTACAAATATAGCAGACAGTGTAATCCAAGCCATGTCTTGATCAACAGATTCAGGCTTAGTGAAAGAAAGGGTATAAATTGGCACAGTTCCATTTGTTTGAAGTCACAAGAGCCACGTCAATTTACACACAGCATACAACAAACACAAGAATAGGAAAAGGCTATATGCACACTGGAGAGTGAAAAGTCAAATGCTATAGAACTTATTCCCTTCAGAAAACATGAAAAGGAAAAGGCCTGATGATGGGGAGAAGAGAAAAGCTAGAACAAAACCTAAGAAACACCTTTGTTCACATTAGTTGGGTCTAACTTGAGCATTCACTACACAGTAGAAAGAACTGGGTTGCACTACTGGCCTTTTGAATTATCACAGAGCAGTCTTTATTACTGAGATTTAAGTGCTTTTGACCAGCTGTTCTGCCATTTGATCATTTTTTTTCTTTCGCAAGGATTGACAGCCTTAACCAGAAAAAAGGATGGGAAGATATTTATAATCATGTATTACAACATCTATGAAAAGTGTATGTTGTCCATTTTTGTCTGTTTTGTCAAAGGTCCTGCAACATGCTAACTACTGGCTAATCAAATCAAACATATGCTGTTTGCAAATTTTGCTCTTACTGTGTTCAACCTCTATATCAGATCATGAATAAATATATCATACAAAATGCAAACTCTTATCATTCACAGGTAACCTTCCAATACACAGAAAATGTGTGATTTGTGGCTGCCCTTTGTTTTCTGACAAGGATTTCAAGTTTCAATTGCTTCTTATTCCTTTGAGGACAGCCTCATGGAGATGCCACGCAGAAGTTACTATTCTTTGTTGGTTTGATAAATCAGTGGATCATCCTGCACTCAGTTTTCATGAGTTTACTGTGATGTTTGAAGTCTGAATTCAATTTTGTATTTATATTAAATAAGAGCCAGATTATTAAATGTCGACTTAGACATACACATACAGTTTCCATGACTAGTGAGGCTGCAATAACTGCACTCAAGTGCAAGGGTTTCTGGGTTCATAATACAAAACAGTATGGTTCATTCCATACTTTCAGGAACTGACAGCACCCTATACATTTAGATGAGGAATGGGTAACCAGAAATGAGGAACAGGAGAAGCAAATTTTCTTTGCAGTTATCCACAATTCATAAATGATACAAACCAAAGCCAAGAATAACAAATACTGACCCTTCATAACAAGATTCACTATGGTGGCAACCTAAACTTTCCAAAAGAAAAATAGGATGACCAACAAGAACGGGAAGTGAGCAGAAAGGAAAAAAAAAAAAATCTGCAAAGTTATAAATCCCCAAAACCAGTTTTTGAGAATGCTTAATAGAAAAATCAGATACACACAACATTTGAGCAGCAGGAAAACAGGGAGATATGGCATAAAAAGAAAGTACAGGTTTGTGCTCATTTAGGCTGGGGTAAAGGTATTTTTCTTCACAGTGGCTAGTACAGGGCTATGTTTCGGATTTGTGCTGAACACAGGATTGATAATATTGACATGTTTTTTTGTTATTGCTATGCAGAGCTTACACAGATCCAATGCTTTTGCTGCTTCCCATACTGCCACGCTAGCAAGGATGTTGGGGGTGTATGGGAGATCGGGAGGAGACAGAGCTGGGACAGATGACCCAAACTGACCAAAGGGATATTCCATACCAGATGACATCATCCTCAGTATATAAAGTGGGAGGAAGAAGGAGGAAGTGAGAGGACACGTTTGGCATGATGGCATTTGTCTTCACAAATAACCATTATGTGTGCTGGAGCCCTGCTCTTCTGGAGATGGCTGAACACCTGCCTGCCTGTGGGAAGCAGGGAATTAATATCTTGTTTTGCTTTGTTTGCATGCACAACTTTTGCTTTCCCTATTAAACTTTTCTTATCTCAACCCATGAGTCTTTCTAGCTTTTACCCTTCCAGTTCTCTCCTCCATCTTACTGGTGGGGGAGTGAGGAAGCAGCTGAGTGGTGCTTGGTTGCTGGCTGGGCTTAAACCATGACAAGATTGCAGAAAGAAGATATAAAGATGTGCACACACCAGGAACAGTGAAGAGGACCAGGGTATGATGTGAGCTTGAGTCCTGCAACCAGTCTTTTATTCCAAAGCAATACACAAAAGTTTTACTGCTAGCCTCAATCATACGATAATGCTAAAAGTGTTGCATTCGGGCCCTATTACTTTATAGTAACATTAGCAGAAATTCTACTCAAACGAAAAGTTCAAGGAATGTAAAAGATAGCAAAGAATTAAGTAGCAGAAGAAGCAAGAGGACACTAACAGCAACCACTTGCCAAATACCTGCATCCAAATGTTTGCAGCCAAAGGAGCTGTGTGCTTATGTTAGTAACACCACTAAGCTGAAGAGATAAAATTGTTACTACTTCTATACAGAATAGAATGAAGAGGAAATTCTACAACACCAGGACTTTTGACAGATAATAACACATATTCATCGACTTCCAACATTACCTATGGAAAAAAAAGGCAGGTAAAGCATTTACAAATGCAAGTGAACTTCTACACGTTTCTACTATCTTGCCAGAACTTACCCTCCTCGTAACAATGGGATCAATTTCAGTTGGATCTTTGTGTGCAAACATCATTAAATCAGCATTTAGTGTCCGTATCCTCTGGAATCGCAGGCGAATAAAGCGAGCAGAGGTGAATTCCAGCAATTCACGAGAAGGATCATCAGCACTAGGCCGCCCATTAATTAGAGAAGTGTGAATCTGACGAGAGAATTATTAAAGTACTAAGAAATTAGATTACTTCAATGCTGCCATGATTATGCCAACAAATATCATTGTGTGAATGCGTTTATAAATATAAAATACATTCTTTCTTTAGAAATTAGATTCCCCCTGAAATATTCCATGTGTTCAGAGACTCCACCTATGAAAAGCCTGTACAGTAAAAACACTTTGAGCAAAAGAAAGCCATTGGCTACACAAAAACTGTAGCACAAACTGTACCCAGGCCCTACAACAGTGTCCATGCTGCAGGCAACACATTTCTCCTCCTCCAGTCTAAAATAGGTGTTTTAAATTTATCATACAACCAATAGGCTCAAATATTTTGAGTTAAAGAAATGTATACTTGGAATGGGACTCAGAATTCAACATTGGTCAGTTTGCGCCTCTTAGAGCAATCATCATAAAAAGGCTTTTGAACTAGGTGTATTCAAACTTGAGGATAAGGTAACTTTCGAAATACTGAAAACTACAACAGCAGGATGAGATAAAATAAGCATTCATAAGCACCTTTCCTTCCCCACTGTCTCTTCCCACAATACATCTTCTCCTTTGAATCTTGTTCTCAGCAAGATGAAAAAATTTCCTGTGTTGCTACTGTTTTCACCCAGTCCTTGAGGAAAAATTTTACCACTTCTGAGAACTCCGTTCAGCGTTTGTTTTTCCAAAGATGCTACCTGTGACTGTGGTTTACGTAAAGACTGTCCCCACTTTATCTGCCTACCCTATCCTAAAGTCTAGGAATCTTCTAGATAAGTGTTCTGTGGCTCCTTCATAAAGCGACTCTGACCCTGACTGCAGCATCAAGGGCAATGCAACAATAATAAGAGATCATTTTCCCATCCTGTCTTTGTAGATGATCATGGCATACATTAGCTGTGAATCCACTAAATAAAACAGATGGGTTGCTACAGAAGTGTTCTTGGAAAAGGCCTACAATAAGAAGCATGTCAGGTATAGCAAAATACTGTTAATGAGCACCTAGGGGGAGGGGGGGAAAGAAACCATTAGTTTTCCTGTATGCTGGAGTGTTAAATTTTAATTGGAGCATTTTTATTACAGACTGGTACACTGAAAGAATGTTCAGATGCTGGGCCAAACATGCAGAACATTAGAGTGAATAAGAGAACTTTTTATTCTTTGCAATGAACACGTTGTGCATCTTACCTCAGTGCTCTGAGTAAGAGGTCAGGCCACACAGCCATTTACTGCCATTGAACATCGTCATATCACTGCTGTTTTAGGCAAACAGCTGCACTCTGAACACCAGCTGGCATTCACTCAGCTGTGTCTGCCTCGCACAGAGGAAAGAGACAGTAAATCTACTGCTCCCAGGAGCCCAGTATCTCCTCCTTTTCTGGAGTTTTTGGAGGTGCTGGATAGAAGACTTACTGAACAACTCTTGTCTTGCACTGGCTATGTGATACTATCAACTTATTTACCTCAGAGGTGAGTGTCAAGAGAATGATGCCAGACTCTTTTCTGCAGTGCCCAGCATCAGGACAAGTAATGGCTATAAACTAAAATACAAGACGTTCGACCTCAACACTGAGGTAGAACGTCTTTAGATTGAGGGTGGCATAGCATTGGAACAGGCTGCCCAGGAATGTCATGGATTCTCACTCTCTGGAGACATTCAAAACCCACCCAGACACCTTACTATGTAACCTTCTTTAGGCGACCCTGCCTTGGCAGGGGGGTTGCACTAGATGATCTCCAGAGGTCCCTTTCAACCCAAACAATTCTGTGATTCTCTGATTTTCTTTACCAAGACAGAAACCCTAAACCTCATCACATCTGGCATCCTGCTCCACTGTATCCACAGGTACACAAAATCACTGGGAGCCACTCCGCGAGGAGCAGCTATCAGTAATATCTTGGCTACATATGAATCGGCACCTCCAAGTATCTCCTGTCTTATCTCCAGAAAGAGGTGATATTGCTGCCTCCTCCTCAAATCATAACGACACTATCACTTCAAGTTGTGACTCAATTTTGCTTCTAACTACAATTAAATTATAGGAGACAGTTGGGTGAAAATGAACAGAACAAAATGCTATGAGAAAGACAGAGTACAACAAAAGATTAGAACAAAAACCCCAGAGGAAGCAAGGAGGAGGTCCTGAACAAGAAACGACTAGTGCAAACAGGAAATAACACATGACCAGAGAACTGTGAAAAGAGATAGAAGAGAACATGTGGGGAAAGAAAACTTCAAGAGAGACCTGAAGATGGTTGTAATAGGTCCAGTGGAAATTGACAGATCTTTCCAAAAGAAGCAGGATTTTAGTAAAAGCACACTCCTAAAGATTTCTTTGCCTAATATTTACCTGCAAGCAAGGAAACATATTTCTTCTGAGTATTTTTTCACACAATCACCCCTTTCCTTTAAACAGGATCTAAGAGATTTGTTTCTTACAGCCAGCAAACATAGATAGGTTACAGTTTAAAGCAACAGAATACTCAAGACTGAACTTTGATATTCCAGAGATAAAAAAGAAATATTTTTAAAGTAGCGCTGAAAATATCCCCTTGCTCACTCTCATGCAGCAACAGCACCGTGGCTATAAGCAGCATGGCAACCCGACTGTCTCTTCAGAAAGAAAATAAATAAAGCTTTTGGGTGTGTAGTGAGAAAGACTCAGGTAAAAACCCATGTATCAGAATATGCAAGTGCCCACTGAGACTTGAAAGTATGAGTCACAGATACAGATTAACCACAACTGACACAGCTGACAAAGAGCAGTCATATCTTTTGATTTATATATATTTTAAAAGAACAAATTTAATCTTCAGACACAGATGGGGGGGATGACCCACCACCTTGGAGTGATGGTTTCACTGAATTGAAATGTAAATTAACAAAATAAACTAAGAGGCATCCATTTTAGAATAGACTCCCCTTTTTAAAAGGTTTCATGCACCTATATGCCAGCAGCACATCTATTTGGCAAGGCTACTCTTGCAGACATGGTGACTTCCATTTATATTGTATGTCATGTTTGTCTTCGAATGTTTCACAATTTCATTTTAAAACAACAAGCAACTAATTTCTCATAATTACTGAAATGAAACTATGTCCGGCATGAAGTGTGGCACCTATTCAAATATGTACACCAAAATGACACAAACTAGAAAATTCAAACTGGGCAGTTTTATCAAAATTAATCTTAAATGAAAATTCTACACAGGCAAAATTAATTACTTTAAATTATTTCTCCTCCTTTAAACATCTGTGATGAAATCATTACTTTCTCCCTAGAAACATTCAGAATCTAGTTGAAGAGTATCCAACTAAGCTGTTCCTACATCTTGAAAAGAGAATAAGGAAGAAACTAAGAGTACTTTAGGAACATCTGCTATTAATCAGGCAAAACACAGTAAGAATCTTAAAGAAGCTTAAGTAGAATTATGCTTACAATATTTTCAATATGACTCTCACAGTAAGACATCACTGTGTTTTTCCAGAGCACACTCTCTTTTCATCTCCCTCCACTATCTTGCACTTAATTGTAAAACACTGTTCACAGGACAGCACATTTTCAGGCAAGACACTAATGTGGCCTCTACTCTCCAAATATTTTTGATTCAGATCCAAAAACTGTTCAAGTGAACACAAACCTCAATATCCATCTACAACTATGCCATACAAGATGATCACAGAACTTCAAATATAGCTCTGAATCCTACAAAGACTAGGCCCATTTTCACACAGGCAACTACAGTGCTGTAGACATAGCACTAGCTACTCACATACTGTGGTATGAGCCACACCACAGTTCTACAGTAGAGCAAAGATCCAAAGCTGAGTCTACCAGGAAAATATTAATACTTCAATACACCAGTTTTGCTGCCACAATTTGATAATCCAAGTCCCCATGAGGGGATAATTTCAAATATTGTTCAGGTTTTACGGACAACTTTCATTTATCAATTCCAAGACTGAAGTAATCATAATTTGGATTCTAAAAAAAAAGCTACGCAGATTTCTACTATAGCAAACATTTCCTTAAGCAGGAATTTGTCCAGGATTATTTTCCAACAAATGGAATCTTTAGGTATCTCCAACAGAAGCCAGAAGAAAACTGTAATGAAGGAATATAAAAAACTAATCATTTAGAGTGTGATTCCTCTGATATACTATCATCACTTTGTCTGACTAAACAGTGTATCCTGAGCTACAGAGTGAATCTGAGACATGGTGTTTAATGTCTACCAATTGTCCTATTCTCTTTTTTTGCCTACTCCCTTTTTCCACCATTACCTTTTTCATCACTGTAGATACATGTCACAATGGGAAGAAACTTGTTTCTTTAAGAAAACCAAACTCAACCAACAAAAATAACTGGTTCTGGAGGGGTTGCTGGTTAGGCTTTTGTCCTTTTAAACCTGAAATTCATAATTATTTAATTGACAGTAATCTAATTTTTAATTTGAGAAAATTGTGAGTAGTCAACATCTTTTCTTGGAGGTCTGCCTCACACAGTATCCAAACCAACGTGCTAACAATAAGACAACGGCAAGGATATATAATATTCTTTAGTGATTATAGGAGCTATAGATAGTTTCTATACATTTAGTAAGCCTCAAAGGATTCCCATGAATACCCATCACCTAATAAGGATT